TAGAGACGTGAAATGTAGGGTGGACACGCATGGTCCGCGGAAGCTTCAGGCGGACTGCAGCAGGATTGATGATCTTGAGAATCTCAAATGGGCCAGTGAACTTCTGGGCCAGTTTCTTTGAGTCGTCACGAAGGGGAAGGTCCTGGGTCGATAACAAGACCTTCTGGCCCACCCGGTAAGTGGGCGCAGTGGAGCGTCGGCGGTTAGCAGAGGCGGAGTATCTAGTCACTGACCGCTGGAGGTTGGCCCTGGCCTGGGCCCAGGTGCGCCGACATTGGCGGATGAAGGTCTGTACGGCTGGGCAGGAGACCTCCCTCTCTAGGGCTGGGAACAGGGGTGGTTGGTACCCATGGGCGCACTGGAATGGGGAGAGGCCGGTGGACGAGCTGACCAGTGTATTGTGGGCGTACTCCACCCACATTAGTTGTTTGGACCAGGTCGACGGGTGGCTGGAGACCATACACCGGAGAGACGCCTCCATCTCCTGGTTCTTCCGCTCCGTCTGGCCATTGGACTGGGGGTGGAACCCTGAGGACAGGCTGGCCGTGGCCCCGATGAGGGTGCAGAACTCTTTCCAAAAGACAGAGGTGAACTGTGGTCCCCGGTCCGAGACCACGTCCACAGGGAGACCATGGAGTCTAAACACGTCGCGAAGGACCACCTCCGCAGTCTCTTTGGCCGACGGCAACTTAGGCAAGGAAATAAAATGCGCCATCTTGCTGAACCGGTCCACCACCGTGAGAATGGCGGTGTGCCCTTGAGATGGTGGTAGGCCGGTTACAAAGTCCAGGGATACGTGGGACCAGGGGCGGTGAGGGACGGGAAGCGGGTGCAGGAGTCCAGCCGGAGCCTGGTTGGAGGACTTGTTCCGGTTACAGACGGGGCAGGCTTTTACAAACTCCTGGACGTCTTTGTTCAGGGACTCCCACCAGAACCGGCGCCGGAGAAATTCTCTGGTTCGCTGGATCCCTGGGTGGCAGGTGAGATGGGTACTGTGGCCCCACTGGAGTACCTCAGACCGGAGTTGCCTCGGGACAAAAGAGTCAGTTGGGTGGGCAGGCGCTGGGACCTGGCTGCTCCTCCAGAGCTGCCTGAACCCTCTCCTCGACTCCCCAGGTGATGGCAGCCGCCAGGCGAGCCGGGGGAAGGATGGTGACCGCCTCTGCAGTACCCTCCTCCTCCCCCTTCAGAAATAGGCGAGACAGGGCGTCGGGCTTGACGTTGCGGCTACCTGGTCGATAGGAGAGGGTGAAATTGAAGCGGGTGAGGAAGAGTGACCAGCGGGCCTGCCTGGAATTTAGTCTTCTGGCCGTCCTGATGTACTCCAGGTTCTTGTGGTCGGTCCACACCAGGAACGGCTGTTTGGCCCCCTCCAGCCAGTGCCGCCACTCCTCCAGAGCCGCCTTCACTGCCAGGAGCTCTCGGTTGCCGATGTCGTAGTTTCTCTCTGCGGGGTTCAGACGGCGAGAGAAGAAGGCGCAGGGGTGGAGTTTCTGGTCGTCGGCGGCCCGCTGCGACAGGACGGCCCCTACGCCAACATCCGAGGCATCCACCTCCACTACAAATTGCCTCTCTGGGTCGGGCATGCGCAGGATGGGGGCGGAGGTGAAGCGTCTCTTCAGGGTCTGGAAGGCGGAGTCGGCCGCAGTTGACCATCGGAAAGGGACCTTGGGGGAGGTGAGAGCCGTGAGAGGGGCTGCCACCGTGCTGTACCCTCGGATGAAGCGCGATAGAAGTTTGCGAAACCCAGGAAGCGTTGTAGCTGGCTTTCGAGACTCTGGCACCGG